GAAGACACAGCCGGGGAGCTTGCAGCACACAGAGGGGCTCGCAGTGTCCGGCAGCACTGGGCGCCCGTACCCCGCTCTCCAAGGCCCGGCCCCCGCGATGAGCAGGCCGGGCACCAGCTGCCTGGGGCCCGCTCTCCCTCGGCCCTGCCCCACCCGCTCACGGGGTCTCTAAATTCTCATCGACTTTCTCCTCGTTAGGGCCCCGGGCTCCAGCTCCCTGAAGGACGCCCACAGGCAGGCCTCCTCTGAGGGCGAAGGGGGCGCGGCTCTGCACAGAGGCTGGTGACTCCCGCCCCAGCGGGGTGCCCACCCCACGCCCGCTCGAGGGCCGCGCCCTCACCCCGTCCCGCCGACTTTTGCTCGCCGTCCCAAAGGCACCCAGGAGGCCGCGCTCTGCCGCCCGCCAAGTGCAGGCCAGGCCGGCCGGGTGCGGCGGTCACGGCGCTGGGACTGGACGTGGTGCCGCCATACCTGGTTCTTCTCGGACATCAGGAAGTCCAGTTTCCCTCCAGGGAGCCCCAGCTCTATGAAAGTCTTCACCAGCCGGAGGTCCGCGCTGTTCCCTGAAACCAACAGACAGCGCCACGCAGCCCTCACTCACGGGCCTCGCTGGGCGCAGCGTCCTCTCAGCGCGAAGCCGTCCGCGGCCCCTGCAGCCGGCGTCCATCCCCAGCAGGGAGGGACCCCAGGCGCAGCAGACCCCTCCTGTCTCCCGCTGCCCCCTCAGCAGTGGGTTTCACTGGACCCGCCTGTTCTGCTCCCCGCTCTCTCTGTGAACCTGCTCTTATATGCATAAATAAATAAATCTGAAAAAAAAATTAAAGCCAACTTGAGGGATCGACGTCTCCTGGTCCGGCCCCATTTCTCGTGTCTTCGCTAGCCCATAGTCAAAAGCACCAAGACAGCCCCGCAGTCCCCCGCAGGGCCCTGCCCTGTGGAGTCAGCTGCCCTGAGGCTGCCTGCGGCTGAAAGCTGCCACACCGCCCCTCGTCCCGGACAGCTGACTCGGGATTTTGCAACCGGCACCGCTGACGGGCTGAAGTGGGGCCATGTGGCGCCCATACCAAAGCCACCCTGTCCTGCCCTGAGGGCCGGCGGCAGCCCCCACAGGCCAGCGAGGGAGGCCACCACGCACCCGGCCGCGCAGGGCAGGCGGGCGCGAGA